TGACTTTATTCGTGTCTAAAGCGTAAAAATGCTTTAAAAGAATAAAGTGTATGATATATTAATCTTTGTTGTGAAAAATTCATATTAGTTTTCTGCAATCAACAATTGGAGCTCTTGGTAAAAGTCCCTCTTTTTTCTATTAATTTTTGTTTACAGTTCGTTTGGCTATAGCTGTGTATTTACAGTGGCAAGGAAAGTGAGAAATTTGCTGAGAATTTGTGTCGTGGAATCTGTTAGTTTTTTGTTCTTTTTTTTCATAAGCTCCTTTTGTTGTCTTCACTGAACATGGATTGTTTATTACATCATGTCGTGCGAACACAGGCCCTGAAACTGAACGATTCCTCTCGTGTTGGCTGTGTGATCGTTTTTGCCACGTGAAGTGTGCTGGTATTATCGGCCATGCTGCTGATGCAGTCCTTGATCCCTCAAAAGCCTTACGATGGTCATGTCCTGACTGTAGAAAGCGGTACATAGATTTCTGCAAACTCTTCATAGAAACGAAAAATTGTTTCTCAGATTTGAGCAAAATATCGGCTCCTTGTGGGAGAACTTTGAAATAATTAAGACTACGTTTGATGAGTGTCGTTGAGCACTCACCTCCTTCCCCAGCTTGCAAAGTTTCAATTCGTAGCATAGCGTGTGCTTCGTCACCTCTAAGTTCTTTTAAGTCTGATTCATTGACACAAATTAGCGCTTCCTCAAAGTCTACAAAGAGCCTTAGCGTTTCTGCTACTGTTGAGTCGTCGGTAACAAAAAAGTTACAAATAAACAGGAAAGTCCCTCTAGTTTGAGCTATGCTGAAGTGGCAAGAGTATCTCATTGGCGTCACTCAATCTACTCAGGGATCATCGCCTAAAACTAGTAATGAGAATACTAAATCGTCCTCTCACCTAGGCTGTTCGAGTGTGAACGCTGGTCCCCAACTGGTGGTTACCCCTTCCATATTCTCCCCAACTCAAAACTCCCCATCCGTGAACCCTACTGCTCCTAGTAAAGATGAAATTTACTTCAAGGCAGTTCCTCCTAGAGAGGCAATATTTGTGTCAAGAGTGGCAACTTCTACATTTGTGTATAACATGAAAAGTTATCCGGCGGAAGTCCCATCTGTCAATTTAAAGCCTGTAAGCATTTTCAAAATGGTGGATTTTATGATTTCCGTAAAATCAATGCTTCAATGCTAAAATCTCATCTTTCACATATAATGCTTGATTTTTCAACTGGAAGTATTGAAAGCTTACTGTCATCGTTCTACAATACATTAAATCTACCTATTTCTGCATCTGTTCCAGCCAAGCAGTCCCGACCTGTTTAATAAGACAATTAAATATTACAAAAATAGAAAAAACACGCTTTTCAAAAGGTATTCGAAAAGTGGCTCTGCTTTCGACTATTTCGCTTACTCGGCGGCAAGGCATAGATTTAACTCTCTCAACCACCGATATTAGTGCAAATACCTGCACTCCGTTAAATCCCCTCTGTTTGCTAATCCTAGATACTTTTTTAAATTTGTTAACTCAAAAACAAAAATTTTCACATCTCCCTCGCATGTTTCTTTTAATGGCTCTGATTCCTCGGATGATTTTGAAAGCGCAAATCTCTTTGCTGAACACTTCCGACAAAACTTTTCGACTGCTAATTCCGATTTATCAGCAAACTACCCATATCCTGTAACTAATTTGGCTGCAATTCCCAATTTAGTTATTTCTGAAAACGACGTTTTTAAAGGGGCGTGCTCTCTAAAATATAGTTGTGTAGCGTTATCTCAAAGATTTTTAACCTGTCCTTGAATTTAGGTGTTTTCCCTTTGTGTTGAAAGAGTATTTTCCTTATTCCTATTCACAAAAGTGGAAGAAGACAATTTGTTGAGAACTACAGAGGCATAGCCAAGTTGAGGGTCTTGCCCAAATTGTTCGAGCGTATTGTGACTCAGCATTTGGCCTTTGCCATTAATTCGTATATTTTTCCGCACCAGCACGGCATTCGGAAAGGGCGATCTACAGTCACCAACTTGTTAGAGTTTACCTGTCATGTTTTCAAGATTTTTTCTAATGGCTCTCGTGCAGATGTTATTTACACTGATTTAAGCAAAGCTTTTGATATGGTTAACGATAGACTACTTATCTTTAAACTCCAAGCCTCTGGTTTCCCACCCTACTTAGTGAAATGGATAAGCTCTTATCTGCACAATAGATCCTTCAGAGTTTTGTTTAACTTCATCACCTCGGATGAATTCCCCGTTACGTCTGGCATACCTCAAGGCAGCCACTTAGGTCCCATTTTATTTAGTTTATACATTAATGAACTCCCATCGGTGATTAATTGCAGCCAGATCTTGATGTATGCTGATGATGTGAAACATCTTTCTCCGTAGAATCGCACTCACATCAGCCTCAAAGTGACTTGAATAATTTGGTTGCATGGTGCTCTTTGAATCTTCTGAAACTAAATCTAAATAAATGTAAGAAGCTTTCTTTCTCGAGAAAGAAGTCAATCATCACCCAGTATTTAATTGATTCGCACAAGTTGGAAGACGTCGATTCGTTCACAGATTTAGGCGTTCTATTTGACCATAGGTTAGGTTTTAAGTTGCGTATTCAGCTCCCGTTAAGCAAAACTATGTCCGCGCTTGGTTTTATAAGAAGGTGGTCCAAAGAGCTTGATGATCCCTACATTACGAAAAGGCTGTACATGTGTTTGGTTAGACCCATACTCGAGTATGCCTCAGTTGTGTGGTCTCCTTCATATAGGTGCTACGTAGATTCAATTGAATCAGTTCAAAAGCAATTCTTGCTGTTTGCCCTTAGAAATTTGGGTTGGCACCCGATTACCTCTCTCCCCCCCCTCTGAAAATAGATTGCTTATATTATTCTTACAGTCACTTGAGAAACGTAGATTTGTTCTTGGGGTTTCGTTCTTAATCAAACTAATAAATGGTACTATTGACTCGCCCGCATTACTTGGTGAGATAATCTGAAATGTCCCTAACCGCTTCTCTATGCACTTTATCTTGATTAAGCTTAGTAACACAATTATGAGCTGTTTAACCCGCTCAGAAACCTAAATGATGTCTATCGCTTATTCTCATTTTAAGACTCTTTAAAGTCTATTAAAGCAACTTTGCTTAATATGCGGGTTTTACCTATGTCGTACTTAAACTAACATTTCATTCCTAATATCTCATTTTTTACTTAAAATAATATTGTGTTGTTAACGTGTTGGATGCCAAGCTTACGCATGTTTGCAATGGTTTAGGGGTTCACTTGCAACCTAGATCCGTTCTTGTTGCGAGTGTGCTTCTGTGCTAGCTGTGTACATGCTTTTTTTTCTCTCTCTCTTTTTATTTATTTCTTTCTTCCTTTTTATTGTATACTAGTTTTAAAACAATTAGTATAACATTTTCTATTAAGATGAGCTGAATTTGACTTTAATTTTCTTTAGTTAAATTTTATGTATAAATGGGTATATAAATAAATAAATAAATCATGCTTTTTCAAAAATGGAAGATGTCAATATAAAGACACTATTCGTCTCTAAATTATGCAACAAGCCTGCGAATTGCTATATGAAGTGCCGAATGGCTTTCCACTCACATTCATTTATAACGTTTTCATAACGTTTATTTATTAGCCGTATTGGGTATACTGGAAATAAAATATATATAAATAAAAAATTAATTGTTACTTCAAAAGTGGAGTAAATGTGGAAGCCCCACATTACTTCTTCTCTTAGAGTATACGTTGATTATTCTTGCTATAGTTTTTATATATTTGGGACCGTTAGATACTTTTAAGTTTTAGTCTCATCCGCCTGAGTGGCCGAGTAGGCAAGAGTCTCGACTAGCAAAAAATATTTTCCATTTCCATTTGTTTCCCCAGAGAAAGAGAAAATATATGAGAACATTACTGCTGAAAAGTATATTGTACGACCAGAAAGTATATTGTACGACCAAAAAAGTATATTGTACGACCAGAAAGTACAAATAAAAGAAAACAGTTGATAACAATAGTCATATGATTGATAAATTACTTGCCTGAAAGTTCTTTTTTTACGAAAATGAATATTTAATTAAATGATGGACATAACCATTTTCTAAATCTCTAGAATTACTTGTAGGGCTACCCAATAAGTTCTCTTTTCGATTTGGTTTTTCTTTTTAGAACAGAAAACAACTATTGGCACACTAAAAGTAACAAGAAAAACAACAACAGCAACGAAAGCAAGAAAAACGGAATGTGATTCAATCGATGGCATAAATGCCAGACCACATGTCGCTCAATAAGGAATGGTAGCCAAGCAAACACTCAGCATGTACATAATATTTATGATCATTGTAAAACATTACGAGTTGGTAAAATAATAGAGAGTTTTATTGTTGTTGTTTATGCTGTTATTTTTCACTATTAGTAACCGTGATATTACAGCCTATTCTATCATTTAGTTATTTAGCCAGTTTTCTTTATATGTGTCAATTTTGTACATCGGATTTTGGACAACTTGTTTATTACATCTTAGAAGAAAAGAACAAGGAAAACATAGCAAAAGAGACAAATGTAATATAATAAGTTCATTGTTGGTACGAGTTCTCTATACTGCGTCTTGATGCTAGTGAAATATCAAATCAAAGTGCACATATAAAGTTTATGACAATTGAGATCAGCGGTTAGAGGCAGTAAAGATTTAGCCATGTAGAAATTACGACATCGGCGCTTGGAGAACAAGTTTAATATCACCTTTTTCCTCTTCCACTCTTATCAAGCTAAATTTCAAAAAGTCGATGTTTAGGTTAATGAAATTTGGATTGAATTAGATAAACGATTATCGACTTCAAGCCTTACAGCAGACGCATCGTAAGAAGAGAACAGAGAGAATTTGTTTACAAACACTTCTCGCGATTGGCCGTATAGAATAAAATTCTTAAGCGGCTCATATATTCTTTCGTCTTATATATTATATTATTGTAAAGTTTAACATTTTAACTTTGTTTCATTCTCCGTCGACAGGTATTGCAACACATGAAATTTAATGATGCTTTTGCCTTCGGGGCGTTCCAACGGCGATGTACATTCTCCTTTAAATAATAAAACGAAGCCAGCGTATCTAACAAGAGCAACAACAACAGCAACAACGCAACTAAACAACCCAAATAGCAATGTCAATAGAACGGAAAATGGCAGTTACGCGTTATCATTATCGCAAATGCAAGCTGCGGCAATTACAACAGCAGCAGCAACAATGTCGCTGCAATCAACACTATCATCAGCAACATCGCCATCGTCAATCACCAGCAAACATAATCCCGTTACTACAGCGAATTCGAAATTACTACATCGACCAAAAACACCACCACTACGAATATCAACAACAATATTGCCTTCAGCATCCACTCCATATCAAAAAACGACAGAAACGACAGCAGCAACAACACCAAGATTATCGACATCAAATACCGACGGAAGTCAAAGCGATATTGGACCATTGGCGTTGGAACGCTTCACTAACGAATCCAACGTATATATTGCAAACGGTGTTGTCAACTCACAAACTAATGCTTCCTCGATTCCGGTGACTTCTGCGATCGAAAATTGGGAAGAAAATGACCGATATTTAAAAGCCATGCAAATTAAACTCAAAGAAGGTTGGAGCGTACATGTGGGCAACGAAGGCCGGTTATATTATTGCAAGTGAGTAACAAACAAACATTTCTTACACTCATTCCCAACACGATATCCTGCAAAACGTACCATTCCAACTCAAACACATTAAATTAAATTATTTTTTTAACGTACGTTCAAGTGTTTCTCTTCTTCTATTTTTTGTTCATTTTTTTTTTTTTTTATATTCAATAACCGTGAAGTGAGTTAAAATTGTTTTTATTCTTATTTCTGCCCCCTTTGATATGCAAACTCTTGCAACAAAAGGTACTGTTTTCATTTTTAGCACAGTTTCATGTTTATGTATGTCAGTCGAAGTAACTAACACACTAAAGCATTTGGCCTGCAAGAAGAGCGCACAAGAACACATAGAAAAATGATACATAACAACATTACCGTTACCATCACCAGGAGCAACAACATAAACTAATTATTACAAATTGTTTCAAGTGATTTTTCGCTTAGTTGCACAATTTAACAAAACGAACAAAGGCGGAAAAGGCCAAAATTGAATTAATTATATATCGCCCATTACCAGCTTCAGCTTACAATGCGACCATCAACATCATCATCAGCTTAGCACAATTGTCGTTGTTGCCTGTTCTATCATCATCGTTGGTTGGACTTTTAATATTTTTGTTATTTCTGTCGTTAATGAAATGTTATGCACTTGAATGAATGCATTCTAAGATAGAGGAATACGTCTGCGTCAATCAATCAGACAGTTGGTCAATCAGCCAGAGAGTCAGTCAATCAGTTATACAGTTTCTCAACGTAGTATTTCTTCCATCCATTTTCTGTCATAAAGTATTCACTGAACGGCGATCAAATTCATTTCCACGATAATTAACAATTATTGCGAATAATTATAATAAAATGCAAAAACATCAATAATAGCTTAGCTTTATTTATCAAACCATTGAATGAACATTAGCGACATTTAACAAAAGCTTTGAACCGAAAGGAAATAAATAAAAACTCAATTTAATACTCAATGAGCAATTTTTTGCATCTTCCTCTTGAAAAAATCATTGGGTGCCGCCCATTCTCTTTCCAAACTATCGGCAGACAGGAGAAAACGATCACCGTAGGAGGCATATTTGAAACGTGGAATGGTTGAATGAATAGCTTGAGACTAAAAAGCAAACAAATCAAACGACCACGATAACGGGGCAAAAGGGTAAGCATAAATTACGCCTCGTCAGTGGTAAGCTTTAACGTTAAGTTCATAAACAAGTTGTTAAATGCCGCAATCGAGAAAGAGATAGGAAGATATATATTGAAGAGACTTGCGTAGAATTTTTTGACGAAAATATTCGTCCAATCTACGTTAGGGTGTACACAGATTCTTATCTCGGAGTATAACGTATTTTCTCCCCTTAGAACCTTACATTTTTGTATACCTCTTTGCACTTTCTTTACCTCACGTAATCTGGCCGCAAACCCGGTGAAAACTGTTCCTTTCCTTTCTTTTTCATCTCACCGATTCGGGTGTAATGTCGTGAGCTCTTTTTACTCTCCCTCCTTAAAAGAGCAGAGTTGCGTCGGATGATTCCTTTTTCTAACTCTTTGTTAATTATTATCTTCATTCATTTTCTCAGAGCATAGCTCAAGAACTAAAAGTGGCGAGAATGTCTAGAATTACGATAAATTAATTAAATCGCATTCGAAATTCCATACTCAATTTTTAACCCTTAATTTTTTTATTAGCCACTCTACTCAAACTTCAAGCTGGTTACCCTCTTGTGAGGATTGGAGTAAACAAGAAGATTTACCATTTGGCTGGGAAAGAGGCATTGATTCCAAAGGACGTTCTTATTATATTAAGTACGAACATTATTTTGTCCTCAAACATTTCCCATTTCGAAGATTAATAAACCTGTTTTTCTATTCAATAGCCATTTAAATAAAACTTCAACTTATGAAGCACCCGAATGTGTACGATGGGATGAACATCCTCCTGAGCCAAGAGTTGTGTTATTACAACGTAGTCCTACCATGGGTTTTGGTTTTGTAGCGGGCAGTGAGCGACCTGTGATAGTGCGTTTTGTTACCGAGGACGGGCCTAGCATGGATAAACTACAGCCGGGAGATCAGATCCTATCGGTTAACGAAGAAGATGTTAAAGATGCCCCCCGTGATCGTGTTATACAATTGGTTAGAGCGTGTGACACGCAGGTTACTTTGACGGTCTGTCAACCTGTTTACAGCATCACGCCAGGCCGCAAGTCTACTCTCCTATCGGCTGGGAAAAAAGCAAAATTAAAAACACGACCCAGTCGTGTGCGTTTCGCTGAGAGTGTTTGCGTGAACGGAGCTCCTTTATTTCCAGTAAGTTTATTAAATTTACGTATTCAAAACCAAATCTGAAGGCAAAAATTTATTTATTCTTTCTCTCAAAAGCCTTCGGCTTTCTCATTAGGTGATATTTGCGTCCCACCTATGGCCAATGTTTTGAAAGTATTTCTAGAGAACGGGCAAACAAAGTCATTTAAATACGACACTACCACCACTGTGCAGGTACTTCCAGTTTATATCTTGACTTGATTTCATCCCTAATTATTCTTTTGAAATATATTTCACATGTTTAGGATGTTGTTACTTCACTACTAGACAAGTTATGCTTTACTACACGCGAAATTTTCAGCCTTGTTCTGGAACATGTAAAAAGCCTTAAACGTAATAAATTAACATTGCTGGATCCGGAGGAGTCCTTAGCTCGCGTTAGTTGTAAAAATTATTTTAGCTCTCTATGAAAAAACATTAAGAACGATATGAATATTCTTTTTTACCATAGATTGCTTCACGTCCTGGTGCCCATAAATTGCGTTGCCTTTTTCGCGTGACTTTTGTTCCTATATCCGCTGCAGATTTGGCTCAAAAGGATTTGAATGCGCTTGATTACTTATACATGCAATGTTGTAATGATGTCACGCAAGAACGTTTCGCCCCCGAACTACAACCGGAACTGGCCTTGCGGTTGGCCGCTTTGCACATGCACCAACACGCTCTCTCCAACAATGTAACTCCCGCCAAGTTAACGGTCAAGGTGGTTGAGTAAGTTCGTTTTCTTCATAACTTAGCAATATATAATAACTTCAATCTCTTTTATTATACAACAGACGCGAATTCGGTCTAGAACGTTTCGTGCCAACTTCTTTATTTGAGGGCATGAAGCGCAAGGAATTAAGACGTTTAATTTCGCATTTTCTTAAATTAAATGCCGAAATGACAGGCTCTTCGACCAAAGTTCTTACTCAGCTACAAGTAATTATGTTGCTTAACTTAACTGTTTTCTAAATAGCGAAAATAAATTTTATGGACTTTTACAGGCGAAACTGCATTATTTGGATATAATAGCCAGCTTACCAAGCTATGGAGCGAAGTGCTTTAGCACTAACCAAAGAGAAGGTCTCGAACGCGTTTTATTAGTTAGCCCACGTTTTGGCCTAAGTCAAATTTCAAGTGCCAGAAATGCTGTGGTAACTGTAGCAAAAATTAACATGCCACCATATTTAGTCCACATTGGTTCGTTATTTTTCAGCCGCAACCTGTGTCAGCAATTGAGGACTTTAATCATGTGGTTGTCAACAGAGAAGACGATGTAAACTGCAGTGTAAGCATTTTCATTCAAGGAGACCGAGTTATTAAATTTTTTATGGAAGACCGTGATGCATGTGAATTTTCTCTTTGCCTTGCTGGCTATTACCGTCTTATTACGGGTAATTGTTGAAATACTTATAACTGCTTTTTTGAGTAGTTAATGCAATTTCATCTGAAGGGAGAGACTTACCTCTGGCTCGAGAACGTGAACCTGTCGATGACGATAATGCTCCTGCATATCTAGCTCAGCACACTGTTCTCCCGGCTGCCTGGAGTTATCTCAAGCCTTATCACAATCGACCACACAGCATTAATTTTTTGATGTCACCACCTTATCATCCAAGTAATAAAGTAAATTCCAATGAATTAATCGTACAGGATTTCTCCCTTACTTTGTGTGACAAAAATATGAATTCCAAGGCCATGGCAAATAGCAATCATACCAACACCAAGAAGATGCCTTTCATAAGTCCTACTGCCTTGGACTTAGATATACACAGTGTAGTGGCCACCGAATTACTAGAGGAAGCCAAAGATTCGGGCATGAGCGATAGTAGTGGAGGTGGCGGTAGTAACTACGGCGGTGAACGCAGTCAAACCAATAGTATTTGTAATGCAAAAATGGAGGCTAAAAACGAGGAAGTATTAAGACGGGTCCAAGAAATGCAAAAGATGGTTGAAAGCTCTGAACAATACTTAAATGAACAGGGTGAAATTATGCAGGAGTATTGTCTAACAACCACCCCTGGCAGGTCCTGCCCAATGGGTAAAAATTGTGGTGAAAGTGACAATCTAACGATCACTACCTGGAAGACTCCAATTAGCATTGCAACGGACACTGTTTGCGCCACTAATATTATAGAGTTTGATAGTGACTGCGATAGTTTGAATAGCAGTAAAGTATCCTCCAATGAGGAAACACCCCAGACTTCTGCTCTCAAACATAGCGATTCGTTGGTTTTATTGGCGGAGACCATCAATCAAGATTTGAGTGGCATAAACCAAGGTCTTAATTCCATCGGTGGTCATCAAGCAGACTTGCGCCGACGAAAGCCTAGCCTTAGTGAAACTTCTAGTCCCCGGCCTGAACGTAAAGTTAACGGTTTCAGCCAGTTGCTAAGTAATCTCCAAGCCTTAGGCACGGATTTATCACAAAGCGAAAGCGATTCAGAGTCAGTAGCATCACCCACGAATTCGCCCACCATTCGGCGACCTTCGTTATTAAACACCAACGACAAATCTAGTCGCAAACAAAACTTAGCAAATCGTAGCAGTTTCGGCTTACATAGTCCCGACAGTAATACATTTGGTGTGGAAACAAAAGATTATAATCTAAAGGAATACCTCAAGCAATTAAAAGAAATCAGTAATGTGGACAATTTTCGTCAAGATACGGATATAGCTGCAAAGAAATTATCAGAGATTTATGGTTTCGAAATACGTGGAGACACATTTATAGAGACCGATACAGACTTAATAGATTTACGTGCCATACCTCCGCCTCAGACACCAGATGAACTAGATGCTCTTTCATTACTGAATGCAGCTCCCCAGGGCTTCGATGACATCGCCAAGAAATCATTAGCGGAAGCAGCAGAAGGTGATTTAGATAAATTCTTGGAGAAAGTGGTTGTGGCTCCACCAACACAAAAAGCTACACCAGCTAAAGAGCTTACACCCGAAGAAATTATGTCTTACATAATACCACCACCACCAAATCTAGACGACGTGGAAAACAATACCAAAAAAGAAGACATGAAGAGAAAAAACATTCATGTACCAGAATCACTTTACAGCAATTCAGCACCAAATAACAGAGAAAAACCTGCGCAGCTAGAAAAATTTAATAGCAACGAGGGAAAGCATATTATAGAGTACGCCACAGTAGAAAGAAGAAGTAAATTTTCTTGTTGCCCCAAGTCGAGAAAAGATGAAATGAAAGACGTCCAATCTGAAATAAAATTGCCACCACGTTCACAATCTTTGGAACAATCAATACCAGCTAGGCCACCAAAAAGCGCAGAATTGGTACAACGCTATTCACCAAAAAAGCAACCTTTAGGCGAAAAAAGTTGGCCGCGTAGTGACGGCAGGGAATTAAAATATGAAGAGAGTCCACCCATGCTGCCCCCTCGTATCAACTATAACGCAACTAGTCCTCGCGGGCTACAAATAGGAAATTTTGATGAACAATTGCCTATATTGGGGACAATGGTGAGTCCTTTAGCACCTAAAAAACCACCCTTACCTCCCATCGTAACAAGACCATTCTTACGCAAAAGTCCTTTGCCTACCAATTACCCACTGACAGCGGATATTAAAACTTCACCTCCCAGCATACAACCGCGTCCATTTCAAAGTCCTTCATCATGTAATAGTTCAGCAGCCCAATCTCCTACGTTACCCACACCGCAGACACCTACGCAGACTCAGTTATTTCAACAATATCATTCCACTAAGAGCGGAGACCATCGTGATCAACAGGCAAGACCATCCCCAGTCTATCCTTTACTGTACTCACCGCAAATGTCACGAAAATTGCAAAATGCCAGTCCGGTAAAACCAGTTACAAATAATTTGACCGGATTACCAGCAAACATTACCAACACTGGTACTAAGCTCATTATTAAAAATGGTCATGTCATAGATGCAGAACAATTACTAGTGAAAACCGACGTAGCGATGGCTGGTCTGCTGGTAAAACTCGATCAGGTAGCTGCCCAATGTACAGCTGCTCAAGCCGCTGGCGGTGGTACTAGCATAGATGAGGAAAAATTCCAAAGAGCACGCAATGAACTTACCGAACAAACATTAGCTTTGGTTACAGCTTCTAAATTTTTAGTAGTAGCCATGTCCGATATGACTTTATTAACGTTGCCAGAACATTTAACCTCCTGCTTAACTGCAATAAGACGCATAACTGAGTTAACACAAGACATGACACGGCATACTTCAGCACCACTTCAAACGCGCAACATTGTCTTGAAAGTGCACGATGTAGCCTCATCATTTCGAGAATTGGTCGGCGTCCAAATCGGACCTTTAGGAGCTGGCCAATTGGCACTGCAAGCGGAATGTTTAGCTAACGTCTTGGCTACACTATTGCGAAGTTTACGAGTTTTCTCACCATAAAAAAGCAATGCTTACATACATGACGTTAGTCTTGTGTGTCATGTGTTCAAACCGAATAATAACCGTGTAACATAACATATCGTTTAAATTTTACGAAGTGATGATTGAAGATAAGTAGTGAATAACAAAAGACGTCTTTCTTTTTTTATCTTTATGTCTTTCTCGGTCTATCTTTCTATCTACTGCTCTTCACTATAGCTGCAACAATATAAAAAAATCATTAGACGCAATTAAACTTAAATCTTATATATATTTGTAATGGATAACTCTCACATCCTCATTATAGATTCTTTTGCATACTTACAGAGAATCTTATATATCAACAAAATTTTCATATAATAACTATTTACTAAATCTTAATGGTAGTTGACTTTATTAAAGCTTAAAGAAAACAACACACACATACATAACATTTTCTTAAATTACATAAATCCTACGCCTAAAGAAACTGTTTTTTTTAGGTCAACTCTAGAGCATAACTTGAAAAAATCATATCTTATGTACAGATACAAGCACCCAGAAAAAGAGATAATGACATGCAACTACCTATATACAAGATAACACAATGACCTTTTTTCTACACACGTAAGATAACTTTTCGTTTAATCGTCACACAAAACTGAAATATTCCTTGACTATCCATTGTCTCTATCTCACTTGCATATAATATTATACTCTAAAATACAAATTTATTTAAAAAAAAATAAATAAATAAAATAAAACAATAACAATAATAATAATAATCAAAATTTTAACTTGTGATAATTATTATTAAAGACCTTTGTTATATTCGCGTACAAATGAGTTGAAAAATGAAAAATATGTATGCCATTTAAACGTCTAGTCGGTCAAGTCCGATCATTAAATGCTTTATAGAAAAACAGAAAGGCGATACCGCTATTATTTAAAATTTAAGTTATTTTCATTAGTTCGATTGGTAAAAAAAAGAAACGTTCTTGTTCGCATTTTTTATCAAATTGTTTAACTGAATTAATTGCTTTTGCTTCTTACCGTTTGAAATAATGAATTTATTTATGATAAAAGACGAAAGCGACATTTGATACTCATAAAAGTTTCGAGGACGGATAATTGAGGGAAAAGTTAGTTGAGGTCCATTTAAAGTTCTGCTCAAATATTCTGCCCTATTGAACCTGTTCACGGGAACTATTTTTTCAAAAGTTTGAAGATGAATGAAAGGTGCTTTTGGTACTAAAAGTTTGCTGCAAAGACCACAAAGCATTTTGACTATTGGTCAATAACTCTCCTTTAAGTGCAAGAACACCTCAACATTATTAAGCATATTCTTTCAAAGTGGTAAATTAATAAACGGCGACATATAATAGCATATTCAAATATACGAAATGCTTTTAAATTTTTAAATTTAGCATTTGGTAAATGTAACAAACTTTTGCTTTGGCTACACAATTACATAATGAAACAAAGTCAAACATTCGTGTGCCGATAATGATATATGCTTAGCCGAGTGTTGTGTTTTCCAAGCTCCGTGAATGGTGCAAATAGTAAACTTTGAAGAACAAAAGTCTACAAAATGCAATGGGACAGAAACCCAGCCCTTGACCTCTCAGAATGAATAATTTACCGGGTCCATTTTTGCTTTCCACATTTTGCCTTTTCTATTTATCATCTTATTTTTCTTTTGTTAATTGAAGCAGAGCTTCTAGTTCTCTCAGAAGACCTTTGTCCTTTTTTATATCAAACAAACCTCAATGGAAGTTAATTCAAGTACATGGTTTTACTTTAGATGAATTTTGAGGACGCATTGTAAAAACCAACTGCAGTCAAAGTTTTTTGCTAAGGGTTTATGAGTTTAACAGAAAAATATGCCTTTATGTTTAGGAGGTCAAATATATAAAATTCCAAACATCTGAGAATAAGCGTCCACATTTGTTTACAATTCTCAATACTTGAACATGTATTTGTATTGCCTGCGTCTGAGAATAAGCGTTTCTTATTCTCATTAATTTACCATTACAGTCCGTTAACCCATTAATGAGATAAACAGTACTAAGTAAGCAAAAATATCAAAATTAAAGGTTAGTTAGCCTTTCGATACTTTTGAATTAACTTTGCTATCATTATAAATAAATCTTACAATTATATTTGTTATTTGCCCTAAGTTTCTTTCTTTTTCACTTTTCGTTGGTTTTGTTCTAGTAAGTTTTTAAAACACATAAAATATAACTTCGCACATAGGCTAAGGTTGCTGGTTTTTTTGATTCAAAAATATTTCTTTTACTCATACCTTCAATTGTGAACCAAGCATACTAATAATTTAAAAAAGAACTCCTAAGGAAACCAACGTTTAAAAAAAAAATCTAAAATCCATTGTTTGAAGTGATCGTTTTATCAAACTAACGGTTTAGAATCGTTTAAAGGCATTGGTTGTCACCATCAAACGTCGAGCAATAATTAAATGCATTAAATATTGGTTACATTTGCAACTTCAGTCTTATTTGCGCTATCTTATCGAAAACATAGACAAACAAAATCTACATGACCACGGCTAAGTAACGGCCAGTGTGTGGAAGTTTAGAAATGACCAGTATTATTTGTAATGAATTCGGAACAATATCGTGTTGGGCCACTTTATATTTTATGTCCGTAATTAGGTTGGATTACAAATAAGGTTATTATATGACAAGCAGAAAGCTCAACTTCTTCAACAGTAAATACGTTGATCAAATATTTCATAGTGAGGTCTCGCGGGACAGGTTAGTACATCCGATTAATCCGACAGATGCTATCATCGAATGCATACTTTCGACATGACACAACATGTATTGCCCGATAAGTTCGACGATATGTTAAAAAACGGAAAATATTTCACATAGAACGTCTTGCCTTCTGTAACCGTAAAGCATCGCCGGCCGCCCTTTACGTAAACAGCAATTTTAGATCAATTTTAATTTAAAAACAAATAATAACAACAAAACTACCCTATAATACTTCGCTCAATATCTTTCTTTTAATTGCAAAGCGATACTTTTTACATGGTAGTCCTTATACGGAACCGGATAAAAAAGGTGTCCCAACTTCATCAGACATCCTACTGCTCCTCACTTACTTTCGTCACAGGGCACTAAAACTTAAATTTTGTTGCCAACAACTAATTTTTGTGTAAAACGACTCTTTTTGTCTTAAAATATTAACAGTTAGACCTTTTTCCCATAGAAAATCCCACTTTCCAGGAACACGCCTACATTAGTTTGATTTCAAATTATAAGCCCAAGTAGTCTAAATTCGATGCAGTTAATATTTATATCAAGTTACTATTATAAAATATATATATATATATATTTCTCGTCAAGAATATATTAAAAATTCGATTTTTTTTATAGTAGAGTCTAATCATTATAGAAACGTATAAGGGGACGGGAGATCAAAAAATTGGCCTATCCAATCCAAATTTTTCAGATAAGATTAATATTAATTTGAAATCTGGTATTTTTTTTACTACGCAACGGTCGTGCACGTAAGAACTGCCCGTTCCACTCCATTTTCCCCATGCGAAAACACGATACTCCTATATTTCAACATTTCGACCTGTGGGTTAAACACACATAAGATAAACATAAGAGTGACAGGCAAACGAAAAAAACCGGCTTCGATCTATAAGGAAAATACTTCTCGGACGATCGCTGTAAAAGTACGTGAAGCTGCCTTAAGTGTTCCTGGGTGTTATATGCATTCGCGCAAATCCATCTCAAAATCTGCCTACCGGAAGTGGTGTAAAGATTAAATGTATCAACGATCTTAATTTTCGGACGCAGCCCTTTTGACGAAATTGTTAAGTTTACTTAAACAAAATTATCATTTATAGATAAGGATTAAACTTAAATTTTTTTAAATAAATTGTCTAGGTCTCCTAGAAATATACTTCCTTTTTCGTTGGTTCAAACGAAAAACGAAAACAAATAGTGCACCCATACACATACGTAGTCTCTAAAAATATTTACGGCCCGTTGCCAATGTGAGACAAAGGCTAATGTCTTTGACGTAACAATTAGTCTGTTCCCTCAGTACTAAACAAACCTATAAAAGTTAAATTAAAAAAAGGAATAAAGTTTTATAAATAGTTAATTATTCACAGCAATTTCGTTTTTCGTTAAGTTTCAATGTTTATGTAAAAATTTACGGCAACAAACAAATAAGAAAACAATAACTATAATAATAATAACAACCAATTTAAAGAAAAAATTGATAAAATAAATTGTATTTAGTGAAATCATCCACATGTCCCACACATACTTATACATTGGAAACATGCAAATACTTATATGCACACGTATATACAATCACTAGTTAATCAATTGCAGCAATATTTACACACATATACATAATAAATCTCATATACTCTATAATAATTAAATTAATTCATGTATAGAAACGTACGTACGCAACCAAATAACCAAGTCGTAATATTTAATGATTATTAATTAAATTAATTAAATTAATTAAATAATTAACCTTAATTAATTAACGCATATACATAGGGGTATATTTACCTATTATACATATATGTAACGTGGTTGATTGTGCATATTTTCGGGCCGAACGAAAAATATATTTCATAAATAAAATTTATCTCTAATAAATACTGTATGTAACTAACTCTTCATTTAACTTTTTTCGCTTTATAAGAGAAAATGTAAAACAACAACAAAAATTGAAGAAAAGAAATTTAATAAAAATTCAAATGTAGTTAATCACAAAAATGTATGCAAAGTTTGATTCATTCATTCATTGTAGATTCTTTGCAAATTATATGCTGCGCGTGACGTTTCAAATGTGAGCTTTCCTGAACTGCTGCTACAGCGTCTCAATCAATCCTCCTCGTCTCAAGTACACTTACGGTATGGGCTCGCATAGAAGAATGTATTTAGAAACAGTAGATTTAACAGTAGATTTCCATACATGAGAATGAATAAATAGCTATAAAGTTGTAAACTTATGCATACTAACGATGGGGACGAGAAGTTAACAAAATATATAAATATTGGGTAGTCCGTGAACTTCTTGCGTATTTTCGCAACACCACGTTAAAAGGATTTCCTTTAGCTAGCTAGACAAATAATTAGGTTTAAAGGTATATATAGTTATGTAGAGCAGGCTTTTATTTATTTTGTAACATACTTCCAAAGTGATCACCTGTGTTATAGTAGTCAGACGTAAGTACCACGCCGAAGGTCAAAGCGGGCATACAACATATATTTTACATCTTCATTTCAAAAAGATAAAAGACCTGCAGAGAAATATATATAACATTTGCTGTCTATGGAACTAATGCTGTAGCAGAATTCAAAAATGGGTTTGCGAAATTTCGTTCAGGAAATTTTCAGAAGAATCTTTACTGCGTTCTGGTAGCTCAAACACCATTGACGACGACCACCTAAGGATTGAAGCTGAACACCATATAACGATTCGTGAGATTAGTGATTACATAAAAAGAATGAGTTTTGTAAGAAAGCTATATATTTGGATATCACATAATTTAAAAGGAATTCCTTTCGCACA